TGTTAGAGTCAATATAATACTGGCTAAAGAAAAGATCTAAATGAAAAAGCTGGCCTACTTTTGCGTTCGTCATAAGTTTACTATTTTTTGTTTCTAACAGGCCCAGTTATGTGTAAATTCAACATTGGATACACTGATGAATAACAGTATCTGATAAAAAATACCGTAAGGTACTGTTGTTTTCTTTGGGGACTGACCTAGGACAAGACTTTTTCCGCCGTAGTGTTTGAGCCTTGCAGTTTAAATTGCTTAAACCCACATAAATGCTCAGGAGTGCATTCACTGACAAGTCTTATTAAATAAAGCAGAAAAATCGATGTAGAGTACACGAGAAGCTCCACTCAAGATCTCCTTCGTCCTTGACGACCTTTACACGCCATCTCCCCTAACCTCCTTGTGTTTTCACGCGCGAGTCAAATATCTGTTTCTTCTTCAAAAACGTCACGTGCACTAGAATCTTCCCTAGTCCCTGTACGGCGCCTGCCGAGGCCTTCTCGGTCAATGTATCCGAGACCCCTGGAAACTCATTCGGACAACGTGACCTAAAACCCATTGGCCACATGGAAACGGAACTAGGTAAACTGGAATTTTGAATCTGGGGTTTAGTTTCATTTATGTATTGGCCGGTCTGTGTTTCTGCATGCGTAAGGAGCAGCATGAATACACACGAGGTAGTTATGCAATTTTTGACAGAGCAGTCTTCTTGATTTTGATAAAGATGTGTTTACAACCATGTTATTCCTTCAAAGATTTTTCAATGTAGCGAATACAGAGAAGTTATCGTGAACATTTACTGTTCATTATGAATGCAGGAATGCAGATTTGAATAGCCTACGTTCGATATGTTACAATTCTAACACGACTGCGACGCATTAGGGATAAATTCCAAACTTTTCATGAAGCCATTGTCTCGTAATTCCTGGAAAGAGACTTGAGCACAAAGAAAACCACCATGTTATAATTTTGATATATCGAACGTGGATCTGATTGTATTCCGGTGCGAGTAGCGACTACTCAAGACTACTATTTCTGTTTCTATATTTCATGATATTTATACTTGACAAAGGTTGCCCATCGCGTCACTAATAATTGTGTATTTTTTGAATAATCAATTGGGGAACGCTTGTGCTCCCCAGTCAGTGATATGACAACAAAGCGCGCAAACAGCTTTATTTTGACGTGGCAAAACAGTACGCGACGGAAACCGGTCGTGATGAAATTTTTCGCGCTGCGAGCGTTTTATGTGGGGACACTTGTCATAGTCCTTTTACTAGTAATAGTTTATCTGTGTAAGGCACCTCAAAAAGCATGGCAATTTAACTTTGCAAGAAAAAGTAATGAGGTATTGAGTGGAGGCAATTTTGCACAACACGAGAACAGCTCCATACAAAGAAGAGGGGGGCATTGGGATTTTCGGTTTTGCGGTTTCTAATATACCCCAATGCCCCCCTCAAAGAAGGAACTTGAAGTTTTACATTGCATTTGAATATTGGGAGCAACTTACACAGGCCACTAAAAATTTGATCGCCCTTACGGCTTAAGCAAGGTACAGTGGACACCAAGTTGTTGTACCTTTTGTAATTGATTCACAGGTTTTTGGTCATAAAATGAGGAGTAATGAAACACTGGCCTTGTACTACAATCTGAGTGTATTTAACAACACGCTTCGTTCACACGGATACAGCACTTTAGTGAGCTGGGAAACATTTCAGAGTGTTTGCAGAGACAAGTTGGACTTACTAATACAATTTACTTCATGATGGTGAAGAAGCTTCACGCCGACAACAAACAACGGAAATTCAAGGTTTTCAAAGTAGATTTGGCTTCAATATATCGAAAACTGTTCGCGTGGATTCCGGAATGCTTCGATCGGTTGAATCTTTTCTCGACAAAGTGGTCAAAGGAAGTAAGTGTGTTGGGATCCGAGAGTGGAGAGGAAACAAGGATCTCCCATATCGAGCTTTCTTTCCACTTCCAATGGGTATCCATTCTTCCCTTTCAGCGTCCAATGTAGCATTTTTCAATGCGAAACTTTTGGAAATTGTTGATGACTTTATAAATAAGACTCTAGGTTCAAACTACATTTCCCTTCACTTTCGCACGGGACGGATTTTGAAGCGTTCAAATGGTAATTTTACCACTTTGGTCAATTGTATCAAGAAGCAGGCATCACTGATTAAGAACATTCGAGCGCGTCATCCTAATTACAATAAACTTTTTGTCGCTGGAGATTTTTCAGCGTTTGGTTCGCGGTCTAAATGGGTCGTAGAAACACGTAGAAAAGCCTCTTTACTCTTAAAGCATTTAAATCAACCGTTCGACGATATGGTCTTTTTACAGCCGCATTTCTATGATATTAAAGACAAAGGAGCCGTAGCCATTGTTGAAACGGTTCTCCTTGTTTCAGGGAAACAGCTATTCTTAACCGGAGGGGGAAGTTTTGAATATTCCATGAGAGCACAGTTTATGAAAAGAAACCCATCCAGTTATGATAAAGTGCATGAGGTGTGTATGTGATAGATCAAATCGTTTTCAGGTTAAATCAGTAGTCAACCAAATTTATTCAATCTAGCTTGATTCAGAATTTCGTTTGTTCCGGGATAGCCCTAATTATTAATAGGTGGAAAAGTATATAGCCTGCTCCAGGCGTTCAGGCGGTAGGGAGCGAGTTAAATCGTACGCGGTGAGCCCAAAAGCAACAAGAGGGGAAAAAACGCTCAATTTTTCCCTCGTCAATTTTTTTGGCGCCCGCCCCCTACTCATGATCTGACCGCCTGGAACAGGCTAGGAAAAAAGCTAAGGAAACCGCAAAACAACACTGTTTTTTCAAAACTGAGTTATTTAGTCAATAATTGTGGGCCTGTCAGTATGGGTAACTCTGCGAACGTTGTTTTCGTGGCGCGTTTTTCAAATCAAATCGTCTGTTCTTCAATGAAATCTTGGGATAGGAAGAGGTTTAAAATCTTTGTAGGGCGTGATGGGCAACACGTGTCAAGTATGGTCGTAGATCTAGATGTAGATGTAGCATATTTGCGAACTATCAATTAAACAGAGTGCAGTAGAATTTAAAAATAAGAGATTCTCTCTTGAGAGTGAAGGAACTGCCAATATTTAAAAAGGTACTACCTTGTTTTAGTCGTAGACTAGGTACGCACAAATGATGGGTTTTCTCGGGCGTTACTGGATATAGTGCAATGTATAAAAGAGCGGTATAAGAAAATGAAACGGAGAAATTATCTACGCACGCCCCTTATATAAATAATGATAATAAATGATGCCTTTATTTAACGAGGGTAACACTAAATAGCCCAAGGCTAATAAACCTGCGGCCCCATGCCTTCTTCCGAATTAACTTCATCGGACTGACCAAGTTTCAGTTTTCAAGTTTATTTATTATATATAACAACTGTTTACAAATAATCTGACTGACCAGCAGGTAGCAAAACTAGACGAGGCAGGTCAGTTTCACAAGTTCTAAAAAGTTACAGATTCCAAAAAAAAAGAGTTTGAAAAAAATAAAAGAGATTAACAAAGTCGAACAGTTTTGCAAAACAGAGAGAAACGTCTAAGTAATATGGTTCCACATTAAATGAAAAAAGGTTTCAAACCAATAAAAGGACCAAAAAAAAAAGAAAAATTATGATATGGTAAGTACCTAGGTAAACATAGAAGAGATATAAGTAATTATTATATGGATGAGTCTGTTTTCGCCATGCGATTGGTCAATTTGCGGTCCGTAACTTGCTATACGGACCAAAATTTTTAAAGAAAATGCTCATTTCGGAGCTCTAAATCTCTTTACCTCGAAAAAAAGGTTTAAATAAAGTTATAAGACGCCTGTCAACCTTTTAGGACTTGGATGTTGACTTTGGCCTTCAACATTTTAAACTGTGTTTATTTGTGAACCAAGGCGATGAAGAAACTAACTCGTAATCTTGTCGAAGAGGATTCTAGTCAGTGTTTGAAAATTTTATCGTAGTACACAGTTAAGAAGACGAAAATCGACTGGAAGAGATTCGAGATGTTTTGCCTAAGAGAAAATGAGTAATTCCTTCGACAAATATGATAACAAACATACCTGCACCCGATCATCTTGACAAACTTCTTTGCCATTTGCAGTGTTTTTCAAAGACCAATGAAAGAAAGATAGAAGCGAGTTCGAGCCAGACATGTCCAGTTTTCAAAAGACTCCAGTGTCATATTAACGAGTGAATACTTACGGTGCTCAGTGCTCTTAGTTTTGACTGTAAACCCTGAGGACTGGGATGTTGACTTTGCCTTTCCAAATTTTAGTGGGGCTCCCACGTGCGCGAAGCGCGCGCGGGACAGAGCCCCATACCCATAGATTATGGTCAACCTCTTTTCCTTTGGTTGTCACGTGATTGACCAAGCGTACGTACGCGTCTAGGCAGGGCAGAAAAACCGCTGATTGGTTAAAAAAAATTCCACTGAGAGCATGCGCTTGCGCCTTCCGCTGACCATATGCAGATGCAGCTGGTTCAAAAGAATGAGCGATCCGAAGGAGCTACAATCGAGCGATCATGAATGTGGGATGTTTGGCCGAAAATTTGAAGAGCACTGTGTTGAAATACATCACTGAAAGGTCTTGTATATAATGGTATCATTTTGTTTTGCTTCGCTTTGGAGGTAATCTTTGTGATTGTATTACGTTAAACGGACGGAGTCGTGCCAAGCAAACCACGTGCTTTTTTCGATCAACTTTCTTCTACGCAATTGTTTGGTTTCCTGCAACAAGTCTCGGTGATCCGATAGTTACACAACTGAGTTTTAAGGTAAGACATTTTTCGTCTTTGACGTAGTGAACGTTTTCAGAGTTAATGAGTTAACCGAAATTTGCATTGGATGCTATTTATCCTCCACGAGATTGCGGCGGTGCAGCGTGTGCTGCGTGCAGGCGTATAATGCGGCACCTAACAGTTGGCGAAGCCATTGCTGAAAGTAACCAAACTTTCAAACAAAATAGTACAAAATATAAAATAGGGTAGATAATAAGGCTGCATTGGAAAAAGATAAAGGTTTGTTTCAGGTATATCTTGTATAGGAAATGCTTTGTTTTGTTATGGAATGGGTTGTTACAGCCATATTGGATTCTACCTGATATTTCCTATGTCCTCTGGGTATTTTTGCAGAGTTTCCAAGGTTTTGCCTCACAGAGATGAACAAGTCAAGAAGAAACTCAGCTGCTTTGTTTGATAGGTCCCTTAGGTTCCGGACACCCTTGCCTCTTGGATTATTGGTAAGGAACCAGGTACAAAAGTCTTCTGCACATCTGTTTGCACTTATGGCCTTTGCAGCTGCCTGAACTTGGCTGGCTGTGGCATTTGGAGGAACTGATCTGACAATTCAAGGACAATGAAATGTCTTAGTGACTTAGCTGAAATTAAAAGAAAGTCAGTTTTACAGATGCCGCAGCTGTAGCTAGCATTTACTCGCCCACAAGTCATTTCAACTAGCCGTAAAACCCTTTTTGATTAGCACGATTGATTCCAATCCTTCTGTAATTTGAATTTGCCTAAAAAACAGCACTTGCCTGTTGGGCAAGTTAAGAACAAGAATCACTAGCCCAATAGCAAAATCCACTAGCCGTGGGCTATCGGACACGGCTGTCTTTGCACGCTGACATTGTCTGTCATTGAGAGTCATATCAAGGGCTGTGGCCTTGACTAATTTCATTTAAAACAACAGCGCACAGATGAAAAATAGTTTTATTCAAACCACGTTTAGGAACTTTGCATTCCTTACCTTTAAAAATAATGATGAATCATAGCTTTGTTGAAGTAGTGGTCTGCTTGTTTTAAGAGGAATTGATTGGTTTACCACTAAATTTTTCAGGTAAAAAAAATATGTGGCATTGTTAAAAAACATGTTGCCCCTGGGGCAATATTGCACATTATTAGGATCTGTCTGTTATACTGTATCAGGGTAATGTTTGACAAACCGTTTATGCACTTGAATTTCCTAGGTACATGTATGTTACCTTCGAAGAAGTGAATGGAAAACTTCCACTTTCTTTTCTGTTAGCTCGTTGAGCCATTGCTCCAGTAGCTCCTGGAAGTTGGGAATGGCCTCTTGCTGGTGTACAAGGTCGCTCAACTGACACAGGGTGGCCTTGTCATAGTGACGCCGCCTTTGGATGATAAACATGAGAGCTAACCGTATCATGGCATCAACCCACTTCCTTTGGTCACCACCTCGAAAGATAACTGAATAAAAGTAAAACACAAGTGGAACCAATTCATCCAGGAGAAACACAAGAAGGACATATTCTGGGTCTTTGCATTGTCCAAATGCAGGCAGAACAGCGGTTTTTACAGTCAGCCATCCACCAAATGCTGTAGTGATGAGAGTCGAAATTCTGTGTGGTTTAGGCTTGGAAGGCAACACTTTTCTTTGACCAAACAAATGTTTGTAAAGCTTTTCAAAAAAACAGCGGAAATTTGCCACAACATCTTCTTGTGAGTTCAGACAGATATGGAAGGGCCCCTGCCATGGCACCACTGACAATACTCTGTCTGGGTCAACATCGGGTTTCCACTGTAGAGTAAGCAACTTTTTTTTAGCTAATGTTCATAATCAAACTTTGAAAGTATAAAAAAAGTTATTCTTACTTTAAAATTGTATGTATATTAATTAATATTAAGTAATTAAGATCAACATAAATGTAAATGTTTTTCTGTTTAACTGGAGTGGACTCTCTCAGTGTGTATTTGTTTACGTACCTGTAGTTTCTTTTTGTTGCTCCTGAAATGCAGTTCTCTTAGTGGGGACTGCCCAAGTTTTGAATAATATTTACCCTTGAGTATGTGTTGTGGTTCATTTTTATCTTTGGTTGAAACTTTTTTCCCTTTGTAATGTGTTACAGTCAAGTCAAGCATAACCCCCAAGATTACATTAATGAATTTATTATTCGAAAGTTGAATCCGTTGGTAGTTGTACATTTCAGATTCATCTCTGCATTCTTGCATGCATAATGAGCCGTGAAGTCACACGCAAAGCAGTTACGAAATTTCTACCAGCTCAGTTTCCCTGAATTTTATGTAAATGTCTTCTATGAATTTTAACCTGTTCAAAGATTTTCAATCTGACCAAGTACAGAGAAGTTCTTGTAAAATATTCACTGCCCATTACGCATGAAATATTTCACTTCAGAAATATACTGTGAATATTATATTAAATATATATTGATTCAGAGGTAGCACATCCACAAAGTGGTTCCTTGTGTACCTAATTCTAGGTCGAATTGTAATTTGGCAGTGTTGGTTTTTGAGGAGAGGGGAAAACCGGAGTGTACAGCGAAAAAAAAAAAACCCTCGGAGCAAAGGAGAGAACCAACAACAAACTCAACCCACATATGGCGTCCATGCTGGGATTTGAACCCAGGCCACATTGGTGGGAGGCGAGTGCTCTCACCATTGTGCCACTTGCTCATTATTGTTCCTTATGCTAAAAGTGTTTTAAAAATGTTAAGCCAAACCTGGCATATAATCTTCTTGTTGTAGTACCATGTTGGCCAATCACCAGCTAATAGCAGTAGGTTCTTTTCCATGTACTCGCTTAGTGATGGGCAAACTTCATTGAGGTGCTGCATTGCTTATCTATAATTTGCCATGCTCTTAAGGGACTGTTCAAATTCGTCAACTAGCCAAGTGTTGGACAGCAAATCCAAGTCATGTCTGGCCTCATCTGTATACACTCTACAAGGTATTTGTTATTGTTTGTATCATGAAATATTGTACATGCTCTTTTTTGGCACCCTTACGCAACATTTTTTGAAACTCAATTATCCATTCAATATTAAATTTTCCATTTCAAATTCCTACATTGTGAGACAATGCAAAGTGGTATGTGTAAAAAATTTATGATGGGCTGTATGTAAAACTAGTTATTGACATTGGGAGTTGCCAATTTCATTTTTGACGGGGAATTTATATTAAAGATATTTATGGTGCCAGTTAATTTTAAAATTTATGTGGCATTGATTTATGCCAAAGTGTTAAATTGCATGAAAAGTTTGGATGAAATACATTACTAAAATCTATTACTTAAAAGTATTATTATTCTTTTTGTACAAGCTTGTGGCACCCAATGACTATTAGACCACTACCTTAACTTTTAGGTTTCTGATTTGTTGTAAATCATACCTTAATTCAACTAAACTTTTGTTTACATTTGTCAGGTCAAACTGGCTGAAACCAGCAGGTAGAGAGTCTAAGTAACTGAATGTAAAATAATTTGACAAATGCTCTTGAAACAACTCGTTCACTTTGTTGGCATCAATTCCTCCCCGGCAGTTAACAATTGCACCCCCAGCAATTCGAACAGGTACAACCCGGTGGACGTTTCTTGTTGTTGGCATTGCCGGTATAGATTCTTGGTGATCCACTACTCCAGTACACATGTGAAGGCACCTGCTCAGCTGGCTCTGTTTGGGATCTTTTATAGACTGGACACAATGAAAATCATCTATAATGAGCAGGAGGAAGTTGTTGTTCTGTTGGGGAGGAAATTTTTAACTGGATCAGTGTACATCTATGGACTGAGAAATTAGAGTCATTTTACTTAAACCGTGAAACAGGTAGAAGAATACTACGCACTATTATGTATTAATTCCATTGTCTTCTTTTGTTTACCTCTTGCTATTTTGCACAGTTTGTTAATATCTGTTTCACGGTTCAAATAAAATCACTCTATTTTTGTTGTTTTTGTCTCCTTGTTACAAGGTCCTTGTGCCTTTTATTTAGCCCCTGCTTCTTTACATCCAGCCACCTCACCTTGTGTCAACTTATTTTTGTGGCCAGGGTGTTGTGCAGTGGCAGATGTTTAATAATGAATTGTTTCAGTAAGTAAATACATGTACCTTTATGGCACTCTCAACGATCGCTTGTGTCTTGTGAATGCTTTTTCCAGACAATCCTTTTTTATGATTTAGCACACTTCTCGGGTGAGTGCTAAACCCCAGAAGTGAGCCAGCTGTCAAAGCATCATCACTGGCACCATGAAAGGACAAGTGCAACCCACAGTCTTGTTGTAAGGGATTGTTTTTCTGTTGAAAACAAACAAGCAACACTTATGTCTATTACACACCATGGTGTTTAATTTAATTTAAGTGTCTTCCTAAAGTATGGTTCCTGCTATTATTATTATTATTATTATTATTATTATCATTATCATTATCATTATCATTATTAGTATTATTATTTATTTTATTTTTTATTATTATTATACACACTTGGTTTCTAAAGTAAGACAGCTGATGAAGCAGTGCCACAACTCGCAGTCTCAGTATTTCATGTCTTTTCTTAGAAAGCTGTTGTTTTTCATCATTCTTGACTAGACACAAGGCACGGTCAAACAATCCAGGGGTGCACTTGTTGGCAAATTTTTCCATGTCTGCAGGGTCGTATAGCCGCTGCCCTCCATCCTTGTAATGTTTAGTGAGACACTTGTGGAACGTTTTGAACTGCTCATCAAAAGTTGGCTCTGAAAATTAATAAAAAAATATTTCTAATAAAGGTTGAAACTAGTCGTCTTTGTTTTGAATGTGTGGAAATTAAGAGTACCTCAATACAATACCTTCTAGCTTGTTGCATCTTTCTTTTAATGCTGCATTTTCGCGCTGTAATTTGGTGATTAATTGTTTTGCCTCTTCTAGCTCATTAACACTCTGCAAAGGGGCAGTCTGAGAGGTTCCATCCCTCCAAGTTATTTTCTTTTCTGGGGTAATACATGGGACTGAAGTAGTACATTTTGTCTACAAATGTATAGGGCAAAATTTAATGCAAAATATGAATATTTTCTAAAACAAAACTAAGAATGTATGATCTGTTTCTGTACATTTTGACTGCTGTTTGAGTGTAAAAGAAACATACCTTTCTCGTAGTAGGGGGTTTGTAGAGAGCGTGGTTGGTAAATTTGGGAGCTTCGTCCACGAGATTTAGGTGGCCTGGGCAAAGAAATGCACCTCCTTGGTAGTTTTCAAGGTTTGTTGCTACGGTGTGAATCCTCTGCGGACATGGCAGTAAATTGTTCCTTTGCGTGCAGGCATTTTCACTGGGAAAACAGCACCTCCTTTGACTTACCACTTGCATTTTTTTGCATGACCAAAACATAGCCAAACCGGCCTAGAGTAGCCACGTAAAACAGCCTCTTTTCCCGAATAATAATTAGTGGCACCCAACACTTTTCTGACACGCTTCTTAATCTGGAGCCACGTTCACAAACATTTTCCATTATTTAGTCAACTTTGGACGTTCTTTCCGCCGGAAACGCACGCAAAAAGACCGGAACTTGACAGTGAAGCGGTCGGTAACTATTTTTGGACATTTTTGAAGCTTTTTGAAGCGGGAAAAAACGAGCGGCGTCGGCAGTTTCATTCATAATTTCCCGCGCAAAGCATGAGGCCGGGAAGCTGGCGCCTACCAGTCAGTAAGTGAACACAAGCCGTAGGCGAAGAGTTTGGTGTTTACAAATCTTTTCCTTTTTTTACTTGTCCAAGGAAATATATTTTTGCGCTGCTATCTACCTTCTAAGTGCAGGAGGATCGATCCTTTTAGGGGTAAGATTGGCTGTACATTTGTCGAAGCTTCTCACCGGCGATTACGTTCGAGTGTTGTCACCGCGAGGGGGATGCAAAAAACAAAAAACAGCAAGCCACAGAAAAACGTACTGTGCGATTTTTTTACGTATTTCTTATTTTGCTTCTTGGCTTTTAGCCTTTTGGTTGGTCGAATTTTGAACCTTAAATACTTCACCTGTTTCTTATTTTTGCAAATTGTTTAAGAGCTATTGCTCGTATAATGACTCTATGAACTACACACTGTCCCGCGCATTTTCAGCAACCACCCTAAAGTGTATTCCTAATCTGATTTCGCTACAACTCTTGATATCGCCTGTCAATGAGTTCTAGTTTGGGGATATCAGATCATAATCACCGAACTAGTCATGGTTAACTATGTATTTGGCTTCAAACTTTGCTCTTTTTTGTAGACTACTTGATTCGTTGTAAGATGGTCAGCGGAGAGCACAAACTGCCGCGAAAACGGCAACCAATCAGCGGTTTTTCTGCCCTGCC